AAAAAATGATGATTTTTGAATAGTCTCGTGATGGATGAAACACTCCATTCCGCCAGCAGACCACACCACCTGACAGTCGCAAAAGGTGCTGATTGTTTACCTACAACAGCCCCAGATGGCTAGAGCGCTAGCTGCACTGAAGCCTTCCTTTTCCTGGCGTGGGCTCGAATACCACCGAAAACGTCGAGCTTCTTTACAACTGGGTCAAATGACTGATTAAAATCTGCCAACTCCCCTACTAAGTAATTTTGCCTGGTAGTCATTTGGCGGATTCTAGATTGACTATTTAGGTAATCCTGCTTGGACAGTCACCTTAATGTATCACAACTGGTAGATTCCATACCCTACAGTAGGTTGAGCAGGTAAATCGACCCATGCGTGATTAATCTCGCGGCTCTCGGTGGGGCCTCCTAGCTCAGGTGAATAAAACATTGGCTATATTAAAGCTCTCCCCTTGTTTTTCAAAATTGGATAAGATAAATTATTGGAGTCTACCAAAATTGTCTATTAAAAATGCAATGTTTGGAAAGGAAACGAACCTTCACACAATTCATCAAATGCATCATGTTGGAATGTTAGTACATCGCTATAGGCCTCACAGGAATGGAAGTTTAACCTGAAAAAGGACAATTAAACAATGATCAATATTATTTCTCATTTGAATTTACTAATTAGAGAGGTTTTGAAAAGTTTAAGAGTTTAAAAACTGAGATACAAATTTGTGCAAAGCTTGGAGATCAGCTTGGAATTATAAGTTTCCTTATTAAAGATGACATTCGAAAGATGCTAGTCTGGTCAGAACCATAGAATTTGCGTCGATTTCGAGAGACCATAAGGGAAGAATCATCTATTCAGGCACATAATTAAGAAATCAGACCTCTTCTTCAAGCTTGTACAGATAACGAGGCAATTCAAGCTTCAAAGACAAAAATAGCGAAACTAGTCAACTAGTAAACATGTTGACTTGAAGAAAAACGAAAAAACAATCGATATGCATAAAATTCTCACCTGAAGAGACGTTGACGAACAGATTTTCGTTCACAAACTCTATAACATACTAGAACGACATCACCCCGCAACATGATCGGGGCTTCACAAAATTGGATCACAAGTTGATTGTTCGGTTTCCCATTTACCTTGCTAAAATTAACACGGGAAACCGGGATAAGTCAGGACACCTTCAGTATAACAGATCTAGAAAGTCATGCGATTAAAATTTACTTTCTCCCAATAAAGAAAGTCATATAATTGGTATGCAAAT